AAAAATTAGTTTATGACCAAATACGAGAGAGGATTAAGTTTATCTCCCGAGCTGCACATGATTGGATCGAAACTAGTTTGGGACCACACAATGTTGATAAGTGGGCTTTATGTGAAGATGGCGGGAGACGGTTCTGTATGATGACTACGAACGCTTCAGAGAGTTTCAATGGCGTGCTCAGGGGAGCACGCGGTATTGTTGTTTATATATAACTAGATGAGTATTTTAACAAAAAGATCTAACACATTGAGCATTGTCTTCTAATATAATTCTCAGTTATATTCATTATGGATCCGGGACCGAGACACCCCGATGTATTGACCCTCCAGGCGAGCCACGTTTCATGTTATATAAATTTAATGTTTGGTTTCAAGTTATTGCTTTCTTCACGTTGCGCATTCGTTTGTTGTTTATATATAACTAGATGAGTATTTTAACAAAAAAGATCTAACACATTGAGCATTGTCTTCTAATATAATTCTCAGTTATATTCATTATGGATCCGGGACCGAGACACCCCGATGTATTGACCCTCCAGGCGAGCCACGTTTCAGAGTATATTGGCTCAGGACAGGTAAAACATATTTTGTATATGCTAGTTAGCATTGGCACTAATTTTAATTTTTCGCATTATACTTAATCAATTCTTTCCTCCTTTGTATAAAAGGTCGGCGGGGCGCCCTCGTTCCGTACGAATTAGAAATTGTATGGATGACGGTCGTGAAGGAGTTAGGGGGAGAAATAAGTATAGTAGATGCGATCAACCGGGCCATAACAAAAATAATTGTCCAGTTAGGATTAGGCGTTGATGTTGTAATTTGTAGCGGTTTCGATCTGTGTTTTCTTCCGTATGTCATTTGTGATTGTTAAATGTTAGGGGTTTCGTTCTGTGTTTGTTTCCGTGTGTCATTTGTGATTGTAATTTGTATCGTTTCGTACTATGTTATATAAATTTAATGTTTGGTTTCGAGTTATTGCTTTCTTCACGTTGCGCATTCGTTTGTTGTTTATATATAACTAGATGAGTATTTCAATGGCTTACATATTGCACATGATAGGGTGCGTGCTTTTTCCGGATGCGAGCAAGACTCTCGTACATGCACGATGGCTGTCACTGCTGGAGGATTTTGACGTATGCGGCGCACTGTCGTGGGGCAGTGCGGTGTTGGCATACCTGTATCGAGAACTGAGTAGAGTATCCCTGATGCAGAATAAAGAATTCAAGGGATGCTGCACATTGATACAGATTTGGTCATGGGAGCGCATTCATATTGGACGCCCTACTTTACTCGTGCACCGTGACCTACAAGGGCGGTTTCCTTTGGCGTACAGGTATAATTGTACACACAAATTTTATTCGCACTGAATTTGTACTTATATATTCTCTATTCTGCATATAGGTATAACGTGCGGTACGCTAAGTACCGATCAGCGACGCGCCATCGTGAGTTTTACCGAAATGAGCTTGATGGTCTCCAACACGAACAGGTAAATATAAATCTCAAGTCGTTATGAATATTATAGTTTTGTTGTTGATACTGATAAATTTTTTATTTTATTTCAGTTCAAGTGGAGACCCTATACACCGCCGGAGCTGGATATGCATTCTCTTGCACCCATCTGCCGAGATAGTCCCGACTTGTGGAGAGCGAGAGTTCCATTGATTTGTTGGGAGATCGTGGAGATGCATGTCCCTGACCGTGTGCTACGACAGTTTACGCTCTCTCAGCATGTACCAGATCCTGTTGAGCAGATCTCTCGTCGGCGGCGACCTACTTCGCACCATAACGACTGGGCCGTAGTCCGTGCGGCCTACATAGACAGGTGGGCTCACAGGTGGGATTTCATCCAGGATACGAGGCCCACGGCTGTTGACTATACCGCGTATATGGGTTGGTATTGGGGTATCACACGTAGATGGATCACACGTGACCCACAGCCCTTAGCTGGACACATGCCACGGCCACCGACAGACAGTTACATCCCTAGTGGGATGAACGAGAGAGATTACGTAAGTTTCTAAGCTAAATTATAATATTTTTTTCTTGAGTTGGTACTTATTAAATTATTTACCTCACAGGTCCGTGCTTTGGATAGCATTCAGGCGGATATTGATGCGACCGTGCCTGAGATTCAGGATCAGGTGGCGTTAGGGCTCCTCGGCAGGATCAAGAAGACCATAGCACAGGTGTTTCATAAGACTCACGTCGACGAGTTCGCAGGCCGTGAGGACAGGTCTCGATCATTTGGGCAAGCGTACACTCGGCGCCGACGGCCACGTGACGATGACGGCGGCACTTCGCATGCTGATGGAGCCGGCACTTCGCATGCTGATGGAGCCGGAACTTCACATGCTGATGAAGCCGGCACTTCACATGCTGATGGAGCCGGCACTTCGCAGCCTCACACACAGCCGGATACTCAGATAGTCGAGGCTCATCAGCGCGGGGGGCGGGGAAGAGCGAGGGGGAGGGGGAAGAGAGGGAGAGGAAGGAGAGGAGCTATATTGGGTTGTATTTGAACTTATTTTGTTAAAATTTGTAAATTGTATGAATTTTTAAATACTATACTTTTATGGATCAATTATAGCTCGATATATGATCTTTTTGCGTATTGTTTGATTCGTGCGTGTTTAAATAATATATATATTGCAGTAATTATTGTCAACAGGTAAATAGGTGTATATATGAGTTAAATAGGTAGACGTATGCATGCTGTGCATGTTTTTTGCAAAACCTGCAACTTCACGGGAGTTGAACTCCCGTGAAGATGCAGGGTAAAATCTTCCGCGACTCGCTCGCTGGAAAATATGGACTGCAGCTTCACGGGAGTTCAACTCCCGTGAAGCTGCGGGGTAAAATCCTCCGCTGGAAAATATGGACTGCATCTTCACGGGAGTTGAACTCCCGTGAAGTTGCAGGCTAATTTCCGAGGTTATTGGGGGAGTTAAACTTCACGGGAGTTCAACTCCCGTGAAGTTTAAAAACGTACTAAACTTCACGGGAGTTGAACTCCCGTGAAGTTTCGTAAAGTTTTTTATCGAAACCGACCTGGTTTCAGCGACAGTGCTGAAACCAGGTCGGTTTCTCTAATTAAATGTGAAAGGGGTTGTTTTTTGCAATAAAAACGTCAAATGGGTTGGTTTCGAAAATTTGTCCTTATAACATAAGATCCATCATGGTGGGATGAAGTCCATTCACTTGAGCACTCTTGAAATTCCATCACTGAACCTGGCTGAACTGGGTCATTTAAAAGTTAGAACCTAAAATAATAACCGGATTCAACTCTTCGAATTATATCTTACATTACACCTTACACGTACCAGGATTTAGCTTTTGGGCAGAATAAGAAGCTATTCAATATGCATCAATCTTGGCTATTTTGGGCTTTGTTCAGGTCATTCTCAACTCATTAATTTTTAGAATGGGAGCATAGCCATTACCTGAATCCCCATCTTGACTTAGAAGATACCCTAATACAACTGGAAGTTTTTTCCCATATAATATACATGCATATAAACCATTTATTATATGTTAATTTCATGCGGTCTGGTTTAATACAATTTGCAAATGCACACCTTCTGTTGATTGATCACTTGTCATAGCTAATTAGAACAGAGGCATGCATTATAACTAATGATTTGCGGCTCCTTTATTTATTCGCTTCTGTTTGTATGCACACCTTGTATAGTGTAATATTTTATAAATTTGGTGGATTGATATATCTTCTAATGATAATTATAGCATTTCTGAACAATGTCTAACATCACCAAAAGGGAATTTGCTGAGCTTGCCGTTGATGGCAGCAACTACTTGACTTGGGCCTTGGATGTTGAAATCTACCTGGATTCTTGTGATTTAGGTAGCACTATCGTTCTAGCTTCCCAGAGCACCTCTGCCCAGAAGGCAAAGACATTGATTTTTCTTCGTCATCATCTCAACAAAGACCTGAAAAATGAGTACCTTACTGAAAAAGATCATGTTGTTCTATGACAATCCCTGAAGGACGCTTTGACCAACAGACGGCTATTATGCTCCCTCAAGCACAGTATAATTGGTTGAACTTACGATTTCAGGATTTTAAATCTATGACTGAATACAATTCAACTCTCCACCGCATTGTCTCACAGCTGAAGCTCTGTAAGCAGAATATTACAGAGGATGAATTGATTAAAAAGACCCTCTCTACATTCCATGCAAGTAATCTTGTACTCCAGCAGCAGTACATGACCAAAAACTATTCAAAAGACCCTCTCTACATTCCATGCAAGTAATCTTGTACTCCAGCAGCAGTACATGACCAAAAACTATTCAAAACACTCTGAATTGATCTCTGGCAAGTAATCTTGTACTCCAGCAGCAGTACATGACCAAAAACTATTCAAAACACTCTGAATTGATCTCTGTGTTACTAGTTGCAGAGAAACACAACCAACTTATGATGCGCAACCATAATGCTAGACCAGTTGGTTCGCAAGCTCTGCCTGAAGCACATGCAGCAAATCAGAGTAATACTCATGGACGTGGTCACAGGTATTATCGTGGTGGTAGGGGTCGTGGTCGTCGCAATGCTTATGGTCTTCAGGACCGTGGCAAGGGTCAGAACAAGGATAAATCTCCTTCACACAAGCTTAGCTCTCATCAACAGGTTGCAAATAACAAGCAAGCTTTCTATTGGTGTGGATGTGAGGACCACTGGTCTCGCACATGTCATACACCAAAACATTTGGTTGAGGCCTATCAGAGAATGTTGAAGGACTCAAAGGGGAAGGCAAAACAAGGTAAAAAACATCATGCCAGTTTGCCTGAAGCAAACAAGACCCTGAAAGATGACAATTATGATGATAACATGAATATGGACGATGATGACTTATTGAAGATGGAGCTTGATGATTTTGGTGACTAGGAGTGATCATGTTATTTATCACTATCTATGCATGTTTTATTAGTCTATTTCGTTTTTCAGACTTGTTCTAGTTGCTTTTGTTAAGATAATTTGGAATTTTTCTAGACTTATTTTGCATGTTTTTATAAGACAATTTCAAGTTCGTATGGTTTTGTTTAAATGATTATTCCCCCTTACCTTATTTTTGTTGTGCTTATATGAATATTTCATTTTTTTAAAATAGCACGATAACTCTCGCATACAACCCATGGAGAAGGAGACTATCTTGTTCTTGGTAGATAGTGCTACCACATATACTATCCTGAAAGATAGAAAATTTTTCTAAACTTTAACTGAAAAACAAGGAAGTGTAACCACCATTACTAACGACAATGTGTTGATAGTAGGCTCCGGCAGAGCTTCACTAATACTTCCTATGGGTACGAAATTAATTATCAATGATGCATTATTATATCCAGAATCCAAACGTACCCTTCTTAGTTTTAAAGTATCAATGATGCATTATTATATCCAGAATCCAAACGTACCCTTCTTAGTTTTAAAGATATTCGGTCTAATTGAAACTAAAAATAAGAATGATGTTAAACATCTTCTTATGACTTAGTCAATTAGATGTTGGAAGCAGGTTGTAGAGAAGCTTCCATCTTTCTCCTCAGGGTTGTACTACACATATATCCAACCTAATACTAACCATGTAGCGAGGATTTTTGAGATTTAGGGACCCAAATTCTTTTAAATTCTGGCATGAGCTATTGGGTCATCTTGGGTAAAATATGATTTATCGGATTTCCTTAAATTAAATGGGGCATTCAAACCAAATCCGACCAACTGCATATCATAATTTTCCCATTTATCTAATACGTGGTGAAGAAGCGAAACATTTCTCATCTACGTATTCTTTATTTGCAGTCTATGTTTCTATATCACCACCATAGCGTACCTCTATGGGACCTCGGTGAAGGTACATACATTATTTATGAAACTCCGTCAATAATTTAGTACCTATGACCCCATGTTAGGGGATCAATTTACAATTTGGTACGCTGACTGTATTTTTATTGAAGATCAATTCTTAACATTAGGGGGTGATTAGTTCTCAAAATACAAAATAATATCAAGAAATTCCATTGATAAAAAAAAGATCTTCAATATTTATATCCACGTACTAGTCAAACTGAACCAGAAGTTCACATGATAATCTGCTAAGAAAAGAGTGACTAAGCCTCATATTCATATTGTGTATATCATTGATGATTTGGTATGCCAGAAGCATATTGTGCTAGAAGCATATAAAATATGTTAGTGTAAAAGATAAAAGTCCGCGGGAAACTAAATTCTAATAGAAAGGCAGTTACTCCCATAACCTCCGGAAGAGGTTCATCCTGAAGATGGAATCTCCAGAAAAGTTGCACGTGCTTGTTAATCACAATACTGGAGATGCGGAACGACCAAATCTAATTGTTAAGGGAAATGACGAAGATTTGGTTAACATAAAATAAGAATTAAAGTGGCCACAAATTTATGAAAAAGGAGAAATATATAATAGAAATATAAAAGTTGTTGACAATATAGTTACCTCTACAATTGCTCTTAGTATCTCCGAAAATAATCTGGATCCATAACCTAAGTTGGTAGCAGAGTGCATGAAGCACTCGGACTAGGTGAGATGGAAAGTGGCAATTGAGACTGAGCTGAACTCGCTAAAGTATTTTGAACTTGTAGTCCATATATCCCTGCAGGATATAAATGGGTCTTCGTAAGAAAAATAAATGAGAATTGTAAGGTGGTAAGATATTAAGCGAGATTCATAGCTCAATGGGTTCACGCAGAGACCCGGCATCGATTTAGATATAACATATTCTCCTATAAGTGATTGTATTATGTTCCGCAAGTTAATACCTATGGTAGAAACTATGAATTTATATATGCAGTATATGTACGCCATGACCACATTTTTATATGTGTCATTAGACGCTAATATTTTTATATGAAAGTCCCTGATGGACTTAAAATTCCTGAATTGAGAGAAAACGAGAATCGCAACATGTATAGCATTAAATTGCAAAGGTCGTTATACGACTTGAAACAGTCGGGTAGAATATGGTATAACCGACTGAGTGAGTTCCTCCTGAAGAGGAGATATGCAAATAATGATGTCTGCCCTTGTGTGTTTATAAAGAAATCCAAAAATGGCTTCTGTATTATCTCATTCTATGTTGATGATATAAATATTATTGAAACGTACAAGGAGCTTACAGAAGCTAGCTCATGCCTAAAGACGGAGTTTGAAATGAAAGACTTAGGAAAAACCAAGTTTTGTCTCAGCCTGCAGATCGAGCATTTCCCAGAAGGAAATTTTCTACACCAGTCGACCTACGTGAAAAAGGTTTTGGAAAGATTTTATATAGATAAATCTCATCCACTTAGCACACCAATGGTCGTCCGGTCCCTCAAAGTGGATAAAGACCCATTTAGACCCAAAAAAGATAATAAAAAATGTGAGGGCCAGAAGTTCCTTATCTGAGCGCCATTGGAGCACTTTTCTATCTCACAAATTGCACCAGGCCTAATATTTGCATTTGCGATGAACTTGCTAGCAAGGTATACTGCTTCTCCTATAAGGAGGCATTGGAATGGCGTTAAACATTTCCTTCACTATCTTCAAGGTACAAAAGATCTTAGACTATTCTATAAAAGAAACCAAGATATGACATTGGTGGGCTATTAGGACGCTGGCTACATGTCTGATCCTCATAACGCCAGATCCCAGACTGGTTATATTTTTCTCTGTGGTGGTACTGTCGTTTCTTAGAGGTCTGTTAAGCAGACCATGGTGACTACTTCTTCTAACCACTCATAGATTATCAGGCCTCACGAGAATGTGTATGATTAAGATCGTTGATACGACATATTCATGGCTTGTGTGGTCTAGCGAAAGATAATATTACCCTCACTGTCCTTTATGAGGACAATGCATCTTGTGTTACATAAATGAGCAGTGGATATGTAAAAGGAACCATGACAAAACATATTGCGCCAAAAATCTTTTATCCACATGAGCTCCAAAAGAATGACGAAATCACCATCGAAAATATTCGCTCAAGTGACAATCTTGCAGATTTGTTCACTAAATCTCTGTTTACATTAACTTATGAGAAATATGTTCACAATGTTGGTATGCGCAGACTTGGAAGACTATCGTCTTCAGGGGGAGTAAATTCTTAAAGAACAATCCTGAAGATTGGGCCCTAAAGGTCTATCATCATATTTTGCCCCTTATTCGCTAAGTTTTGTCCCACTGAGTTTTCTTGGCATAGACTCAGAAGATTGTCATCATCAGGGGGAGCAAATTTTCAATGCAATTCCAAAGATTACGTCTTGAAGGACTATAGTTGTACTCTTTTTTCCCTTTGCTAAGTTTTGTCCCACAAGGTTTTCTTAGCTAAAGGTTTTTAATGAGGCAACTAATACAACACGAGAATCTATTTATGTCATGTACTCTTTTCCTCGACTAGTTTTTCTCCCACTGGGTTTTTCTAGCGAGGTTTTTAACGAGGTATTGACATCTCGAAGTAATGTCCAAGGGAGAGTGTTGAAATCTAAAAAACATTTTGTTGAAATTTAAAAGACAAAATGTATGTGGACTATTAACTTGATGTCCTTTTTATCTTCCATCATGTATCTATAAATTGTACGATGTATGGAAATGGAATGAATGAATAAAATTTATAATTTCTCTTCTTCTTTTGTCTCTTGTTTCATTTCTTTAGTATATTACAACAATTGAAATGTTTTTGCCTTCCTATTTATTCTTATTTGACAAGATTTGATTTATAACCAAATTATATATGTAGTAATAATGATTTTCCAAATAATTATGAAGTAACGAAGATAGATGAGCATTTGTTTTGAGTCTATATTCAAATACTCACTATAAAAAAAAGTATATATCTGCGTACAAACATTTTTATTGTTAAGTCAGGCTACGTTTTGATTCATATTTTTATAAAACGGCTAATAAAGGTATAATTTGCCATATATATCCAATAATTAATACATTGGGATTGGGTTGCCATATAAAGTTTGATTGTTAAGTCAGGCTACGTTTTACACGGTTCATAACTCATCATAGAAACTATGTAAATTTTACATAGTTTCATTTATAGCTGTATTATTAAAAATGGGTAGCCATATAAATTTTGATTGTAAAGTCATGCTACGTTTTACACGGTGCATATCTCATTCTAAATTAATCGGTTTCTAAATTTATAAAACGACTGATAAAGACAGCTATAGCTACATCAATTATTTTATTTATCAATTGTAAAATGAAGGAGGGGCGTTAAGGAGCTTGTAGAGAAAGAAAGGAAATAGAAGACATTTGTAAGAAATAAGTTTTCATAGAGAAATAAAGAGCTAAGAATTAAAAAGTTAATTGTTACCTATTATAAGTGGCATGACTCTTGGTGTGAGTTGTGAAATGAAGTAACAGAGTTAATTAAAATAGAATGGGTGATTTGGAAGACATGAGACTAATTATTGAATTAAAGATGAGAAAAAGAGTAATCACATTACAGCTATAAAATAGAATAACATCATAACAAAAGAAATACAAATTTTAGCCGCTTGAAGTACTTGGTTCCATTTTCATTTTCTTCTTCAGTATTTCACTCTTGAGCCCAAATAGTCGTTTTTTGGCATCAATAACCTTGCTACTACCAGTTTCTTCAGTTTCCACAGTAGGAGGGTGTATTTCTTCTAATTTTTGAACTTCCTGCACAATTATACATCTTGTTTTTTGATTGGGTTCTTTTTCATTTATCTTCACAAGGAAAACATATTCCTTTTCTAAGCATGATTTCATTTTTCTTGTAACATTAAAAAGATTCATCCTCTAACATCTATACATGTGCAATAGCTGTGCAACCAATCAAAATTCTGCTTCGTCAAATAAAATTACATATGTTGTATCTGTTCCATTATTTACCTCTAAGCGTAAC